TGAGACATTGCGACGACATGATACGGTGCAAGGATTATTCTAATAATAAATGTTCCAACATTTTTCCAAATTGTCTGATATAACCAAATCATAGAACAAAATAAAAAAAAATCCAAAACAGCTGGAATGACTCTCAGTTTCAGTTGTAAAGAAAAACACAAAATCTCCTCTCTGCTGGAAAGTACAAATAAATAAGGGTGGATGTTTATCAGACAAGTAGCTTATTCCATTGCTGGAGGAAAGCAAATGGTTGTAACTTTAAAGAACAATTCTCTGAAATAAACACTCAAAGCATTTCTGGCGAAATATCGAGGAAAGCAATTGTGATGAATTTCCCCTCCCCCCTTCACTTGGAGGAACTGTTCATACTGTGTTTTGTAGGTCAAAATGCAACTGCTCAGAGATCTGCAGCACCAGGCCTGTAGCCAAAGAAAACCACTCAAGGAATGTATCTAAAGGATCTGACCTTGGATAGTTATCATTGGCCCGAGTGGTGAATGGCAATGCTTTCAGTTCTGGGGGCTAACTTGGCGCTTGAATGCAACTGAAAAGCTTTGTATCTACCAGAGATTGACCCTCTGCTTACTCTGACAATTTGAGTTGTACTTAGATTCCTGTTCTATTGTTCCAAACAGACCACCTTTTCATAAACTAATATCTGCAATGGATATCACAATGGAGAATAGCATAGTTTTTGTTCTTCATTGTCAATCTGAGTTACAATCCATTTTCGTAAGACAGCACAAATGCAATAAGTTCACACGGTCTTCTTTCACTTTTGGGACTTGAGTTGCAATCCATGCTGCTGGATGAACTTTTGCTGGTAATGGCCCTATGGTATAGACTGCAATGTCCTGAACTTGATCAGCAACTGGCTATTTGTTAAAAAACAATGAGTAGTGTTATAGAGAAAAATCCAGCCAGGAGCTAAGCAATAGTCATGTGCCAAAGGGGGCCATATTGTGACCATTATTATTTATCATTGTACATATGATATGGAAACTGGTATCCTGTAAAAGGTGCCAAAATTTGCAGATGACGCTAAATTGAGAACAACTGCAAAATAATGGGAATCAATATGTATAAATTTAAAAGAATCTCGATATGCTGAGTAGTGGATGGACAGGTGGCAGGTGCAATTTAACATGGAGAAATGTAAAGTTAACAGACATGACATAATTATATAGAAATACATGGAATATTACAACATGGACACAGGTCATTTGGCCTAACTCGTCTCTGCTGGTATCTATACTGCACATGAGTCTCTCTGTCCCTCCTAATGTCCTCCTCCAAACTATACTCCTCTTTTCCCTTCTCATCCTGTATTCATTAAAAAAAAGAATATGTGTTGAATGGATTTGGATTTGAGGTGTCAGAACAGGACAGAGACCCAGTGTTTTGGTTGATTAAAACCACTGATTGTGTTCCTAGGTGGTTAAGAAAGCTAAGTCATTTAAGTCAAGAGAGGTGTCTTTAAAATTAAATGTCCTTCATGAGACCGCATCTGGAGTATTGTCTGCATTTAGGTGTCCCCATTTCAAAAGAGACATTCACTTGTTAGAAGACGTTCAGTGGGGGCTACAAGTTTAATTCCAGAAAGTAGAGGAGAGCTAAGAGGTAAAATTGCCCCCCTTTAAGGTTTTTCTCTTTTGAAATGAGAAAAATTAAGTCCTGGGGACTTGACTCAGTTGTTTAAATTTATGAAGGGATTAGAAAATGCAGCTGAGTTTCTGTCATGTGGATCCCTCGAGAACAAGGGTCGTGACGTCAGCAGAAAGTCAACAAAAGTCATCCACCTCCTCAGGGTTTTGTTCTGGCTTGTCGGATGTCAAATGTCCAACTTGTGAATATCCTCGGGTTGTTTGGGTGGTGGGTGGGGGTGGCAGGTGGAGGGTCACCTTCTTGGAAATTGAACTGGCTCCAAGGTGACATTCTTGGCAGAATTGAGTCAACCCTCTGTGGTGGTCTTGGTAGTACAGTTTGTGAGCCAGGCAGTCCGCAGTACTCTGAAGCACTTCTGATGACAGTGTGGTTCATTGGAAGGATTTGGATGGCGCAGACCAGTCACTGGGGGCAGTGATTCTTTCCACTCAGTTCCTGTTAACCAAGCAATCTGAATCCCAAATGGATAGGGTGGTCATAGCTGGACAAACAGCAGGAAATTTGCCAGACAGTACTCTCAATTGCAAGTTATGCATTTTTAGCTGGTTAAACTCCAGCAGTACCCCAACACACACTAGAGGGTCCAAAGCCTTACCTCTTGCTAACTTGCACTAAATTCTGGAATTAAGTAAAGAGGATGCATCTCTCTGGGGAGAGAATGTGCATTTCATTTCAGACATGGGAATTTCCATGTGTCAGCGGTATGCTTGGAACTCTCAGTCTGGTTTGGATACTTTTAAGCATGTTGATGGATTTCCAAATGTGCCAGACACCATTCTGATCAAACAGAAAGGCAACAAAGGAAGTAGAAAGTGACGAGAACTTGGTTTAGTAAAAGAATAACAAGCATGTGGAATAAACTATCAGCTTGGGCAGTGGAACACGTTCCTGGAAATTAAAAGCAGTTAGGTGGGTTAAATGACAAATTTTCTAATAGTGCTTGAAGCTGTTGTTTTATCAATCTCCAATTCCTCTGCCTTGCCCCTTCTTTCACCTCTTTTAGATCATTACTGAAGACTTTCCTCTTCGAATATGCTTATGATCATCTCCTCCCCCCATCCGGCTTGACATCAGGTTCCGCCATTGTTAACGGCTCAGAGATACTCTCCCACATGAAGGGCACTATATGAATCCAAGTTATTGTTGTTGCAGTTGTATGTCACTATTTGAAACAGTTTATACAGTTAAATCCCAGTTACTAGAGTTATAGGTAAGAAATAGGTAACATCTCCAACCCCAAGGGACAGAGAAATTAAAGTAATCCCAGATGAGTTTTACCATTGATTAAGTGTGAACATAACAGCAGCTCACTTCACCTTCTGGGACAGTTTACATTGCAAGAGATGCAATATACTTCAGTGCAAGTTGTGATGTTTTTAGATAGTTTTAAATACACTTTTATGGTGTACATTTTTATTTATACAGCCATCATTAGCACATGGTTACTGATGATAACTATGAAGAATTTTGATCCCATTTTCCTCCAGTTCACAAACCTTACCCAATCTGTTGTTGGTCTATTGTACACATTTAAATTCAATCTGAATTTGAATTGCCAGTTTTCTGCTAATAAATGTGTGAAATGGCATCCCAAATAAGGTCTGAATTTAAGACTATATTCCAAAATACTTAAGAGTAATGCCTTGCAAAATTATAACCATGCTGTTTTCATTTTTCCACAGAATCATTGGTGGAGCACCCCTAATTGTTATTTTTTGCCATTTCCTGACCATTTCAGCTCCTCATTTTGGCACTTTCTTAATAATAAAATCTTTGCTTTTGACATAGTCCCTTATCCCTTACAGTGGAGTCCTGTAGCTCAGTGGTTAGAGCACTCGCTTTGCAAGTGAGAGACCTGAGTTCAATTCCAGGCAGGGCGAAACCTTGGGCAAGTTTCCTTACTCCACACAGAGCCTAATAATAATCCCTCCAAAACAAAAACAATAATAAATTGGTCATTTTCAATCTACGACTGTTTGTGGGACATTGCTGTGCGCAATTGGCTGCCGCGTTCGCCCACAAATATACAGTCAATTCACTTTACAGTCTATTCTGTGAAGCGCTTTGGGACGTCCTCCCGACGTGAAAAGCGCTATATCAAATGCAAGGATTATTATTATTATTATTATTATTATTATCATGTTATCAAAATGACTGTGTTTGTAGACAATTGCAACAGTCAGTTTGCACACTGCAATGCCCCACAAACAGCCATGAAGTGAATGATCAGTTTTATTTGGGGGATTGTTGGCCAGGCCAGAAAACTTCCTTCTCTTTCCGAATAGTGCCACGGGATCTTTAATATCCACCTGAACAGTATGTTTCTTTCCACCTTATTTACTGATGTACAAAACCCTGCTAGCCAGCCTTCCCAACTCTTCCCTCCACAAGCTGTAGATTATCCAGAACTCTGGAGCTCTTGTCCTCTCCTGCACCAGGCTCCATAACCCCATCACTCCCACCCTCGCCCGGCGCCACTGACTCCCCATCCCCCAGAGGATCGAGTTCAAAATTCTCGTCGTCACCTCGTGCCCTCTCCTACACTCCGACCCTTATCAACCTGTCGGCTCCCTCCACTCAGTTGGCTCTGGCCTGCTCCATGTCCCTCGCCCGGCCCGCCCCACCATCGATGGTCAGGCCTTCAGTCTCTCTAACCCCACCCTCTGGAACTCCATCCCACATTCCCTTTGCTCATGCCCTCCATGGCCTCTGTCAAGGCACACTTCAAGACTCTCCTCTTCAACCGTGCCTTCGGCCATCCTCCTTACACTCTTTGCCCTCCGCCCTCCCTGATACCCCCCCACCCTCGGGTTCTAATTCCTGACAGTTCAGCGCCTCTGGACGGTCTCCTGATGTGACAGGCGTTTTGCAAATGTAAATTTGTATTGTACTCCAGTTACATAATACTCTTCTTCCCTCACAATTGTATCAGCATTTCTGTCTCGAATGCTTTAGCTACACACACACACACACCAATGCCTTCCTTGACTTGTGAGCAACCGTAAGTAACCTTGAGGCTTTTTAGCTTTCTGGTCACGATTAATAACAAATGTCGCCTTTGTCATCCACTTCCCTCTGTGAAATTAGTCACTTAAACTTTCCCACAGCAACTTTAATTGTCTGGTTGCAGGCAAACCTTTCTGTGGATTTTTGTAAAAAAAAAATGGTATATATATATATATGTGTGTGTCCATTTGATGCTATGGTACAAAATAACTGTCTCCATGGGTTACCCTTTAATCGGTTACAGCAACAGATGTCCCGGATATGTTGTGCCTTTTGTTCAGTGTTTTTTGCAGTGAGCAGCAGGTCTCCACAGCTCTGTGACCCATGTTGATTTCCTGACAACCACATACATCTGTTCGAAAAACATTCCTACCCACTGACTCATCCAGAGATATAAAACAAGCCCCAAACCCGAATTGCTGAAGCCAAGAGAGTCCGATCGGCAGCAGAATTGAGGCAGTTTGGACTTCTCGAGGTATTGCAACTTTTATCCTCAGAGCGATGTAAGGAAAGCAGTGACTTTCCAAGAATTGCAATTGATTTTCCTCGGGGACGGGGATGTCCTGATGTTGGGAAGCGGGAGTGCATCATTTCTGATTTCATTTCTTTGTTCTTTTTAATAGAAATACCGAGATGGAGGGTCGCTGTATTTCTTTGTCTGCTCTGATGGTTTGCACACTGTTGACTGGATTCTGCAGGTCGGTAAGTAACATTTTTTTTTACACAAATCAATTGCAGCACTGCCACCACCAAGTTTGCAACTGGGGAGCAAAAAGACACTCGGAAAAGTTTATGAAACGCATTCCGTTTAGGTGTCCGTCCTCCAAAATCGAAACACTGAAATACTACTACCACCAGAGGCATAGAGCAAGATTTTGTTTCCTTAATCTGATCTGGAGAGAATGGATGTCAAATGCAAAGCTGTGCCAGATGTTGCAGTGAAGCTGAAACAGAGAACTCAAATAGCACATTCCTCTTTTTAACGGTCGTCCTCTAAGGCTCCTTTCCCCACAGATCCACTGACCTCTCAAATACTAGTAAATCTGCTGGAATTGTAGGGATATGTCTGGCTTTGAATAACCCTGCCATAGGAACAACACCCTTTCAGAAAAGCCATTGCCTGCCTTTTGAGGAGGGAGAAGGGAGAGAGAGTGCAGTTTTCAGTGTAGCCTTTTCATTGCTTTCACTTCACCCGTAAATTACAAAGACGTTTTCCCAAATAAATAATTGGGAATAATAATTCGTTTCAGTGGAGGTGATATCATATGGTGTGATATTGCCTACGAAATATAGTCATAGAGTAAATCCAGCAAATCCACTTTCCGGTAAATCCTGTGAAGTGCTTTGAGATGTTCTCCCGATGCAAAAGGGGCTGCATAAAATGCAAGAATTATTATTATTTTATTGTGTTAGCCAAATCATTACAAATGCTTTGACTAAGACTTTTCTACGATGGTCATGTCGCCCCTCTCCCTTGCTTGAGGTCCAACCTTGTCTTTGAGTAGTGCTCCCAGATGTTTTCCTACTTGTAGAGTCCTATATAAATGTAAGGTGTTGTTCCAGATTGATTCTAATTATTTAGCATTTCTGAGAGTCCAGAATTTGTGAAATTCATAATTGCAGCCTTATTTTAGAAGCTTTTTTATGTTTAAGTTATTTTAAGAACCGCAGAAATTTAAGGCTGCATTTCAAATTTTTCCAAGTTGTAAAAATGTTAAGCGAGGGGAATAAATCTGCAGTTACATGAAATTTCTCCCCATCCATATGCTTAGAGTGAATAGTCATTTAGGCTGTATGTCTCTGAAATAGTATTTGAAATTGTTGTTGTCTATATAAAACCAAAAGCTCTACTGATATTCCAGATTAGGGTGGATCTGCTGTTTAGCATCTGCTTTCTTATTCTGCTTTTATGCCAGGAATTGACTCAGTGTTGTATATAAGACTATCTCCACAGATTCAATTCACAAGATAAATTTAGAGTTAATAATAAAGTGCATGAATTGCTGTCATATAAGACAGGAGAGCAAGTTATGTCAAAGTGAAGTAAAACAAATTCTAAAGCACAGACAATAGCAATTAAAATATTTTATTTATGATCAGTTAGACTGTATTCTATCAGTTTGTGCTTCATTGGATGTGGCACCTAAGCACTAGATGTACCACCAGAAATTATCATTAGATCTTAAAGCTGATAAGTGATCTTAAGGCTGATGATGACTCTGACTGATGATCACAGAAAATATTGTAAATAATGATAATCCTTGCAGTTAATATTGTGGCAATCATATCTAAAGGGATTCACAATGTTTTGTGCAGTGCAGTGACTGTATATTGGAGGCAAACATGGCAGAATATTTGCACACAGCAATGTCTCACAAATAGCCATGAAGTGAATGATCATTTTTATCTGGAAGATTATTGGACATTTGGAGAAGTACGCTTCTTTTTTGAATCATGCTGTGGGTTCTTTAATGTTTATCTGAACAAACAGGCAGGTAGGATCTTAGTTTAACCTTTCATCTGAAGGACATCACCTCTGGGAAAACAGGGCTACCCCAGTGCTGCATTGAAGCATCAGCCTAGACAATGAGTTACAAGTCCCAAGTGAGGTTTCAACCTATAACTTTCTGCCTCAAAGCCAAGAATACTACATCTGAGCCAAGTACTGTGTATTTCATAACTTCCTATGGCAAATGGTTTTCTTCCTGCTCATGTCAACATTTACAAAAGATTACAAAGACTGTACAGCATGGAAATAGGCCATTTGGCACAGCCAGTCCATGCCAGTGTTTATCTTCCACATGAGTGTCCACCCATTCCTTACTCCCTCCCACACTCCTCTATTCTCCAAATCATGAAATTAACGGCTGTGGCTGACGATCTTGTTTGATTCTCCAGGCACAAGCAGACTGCGAAGTGGAACAGGAGAGGCTGAGGGCTCAGGTGAAAGCTCTGGAACTCAGAATCAAACAGCAGCAACTACAGATCCAGCGCATCTTAAGTGAGAGGGAAAATCTTGATATCGTTCATGGTTCTGATGTGGAAGAAAGTATAAATATGGTAGAAGGAAGACAACTCTTTGCAGGTCAGACATATTTTACTTTTGTTTTGATACATTGCCAATCAGAAACCATATTGGTGGATGCTGGCCTCTGCTTCTCCACTTTGTATCTCTCCTCATCTGAGTTGTCTGCTTAAGCCCTTATCGTCAGTGCCAATGTTTGTCCAAAGAAGCAGCAAGATTCACGTAGCATGATTTGTTCCTGGTCTATTGCATTTTCCACAATAACTGATCAATAATCCTTGTTACTTTGTCCTGAGGCAGGATTTGTCAAAAAACGGTTGAAATTCTCTTGCAGTTTATATCAGGTGTACTTTGATTTCTGTATCTTGTCATAACCCTGTGTGTCAGCCTGGGGCAGTGATAGCACACTCTGATTCAGAAGGTTGTGGGCTCACGCCCCATGTCAGGACTCACATAAGATGACACTCCAATGCAGTGCTGGGGCAGTGTTGCAGTGTCAGAGGTGATGTGCTTTGGATGAAATCTTAAACCGAGATCCCGCCTGCCTGTTCAGGTGGACGTTAACGATTCCACTACTCGAAAAGACAAGGGTCCTGGCCAAAATAAAATTGGTCACTCACTCCATACTGTTTGTTCAACATTGCTTTGCACAACTGGCTGCTGCATTTCGCTCACAAAACACAGTCTTATAAATACTATAAATACACTTTACAGTATATCCTAAGTAGCTTGAGACGTCGAGACCATTAAAAAGCATTATATCAAATGCAAGGATTATTAATATTATTATTTTATTATTATTATATAACATTTATGGGCAGAAACCAGTTTAAAATTGGTTGCTGATTTCAAGAAGATTCCATATAGTATGTCCCTGAAGTTGCACTTTGAATTAAAATAAAAAGAGATAGAAAATTTATGCCTCATCCTACCTTAGTTGTGTTTAAAAAAAGGGCATTAAAACTTGTTTAATTTTAGCATTTCTCTGTGTTTTTCTCCACAGGTGCCCATCAATGCTTTGTAAAAATCACCATTATTCAGATGTTAGCCTTGACAGTGAGCATTATCATTTTTTTCCAACTATGGGAGGCATGGAAGCACAATCCTAGTCACACTTGAAGTCTTCAAGCAGGATAGTAATCATCATCGTGATCAGAAGAGGACTGGTGGCGGATTTACCTCTCCTTAATTCAAGAGTGCTGAGGCCAATTGTAGTGCCTCTAGTCCTGCACCTGTCTGGTCTCCATCCCCTAGAACAATGTCAGACAATGTCCACTAGGCATAATAGACATCCTCGTTGTAGCCTTCAAAAAGATTGTATGAATTGTGTAAACAATTGTTTTATGGGTGGATTTTACTGAACTGCTATGTTATTCATAATAGAGTTACAGTCATGTCTATTTATCATTTTTTTTAGAGACGCACACAACCTATTTCCAAGTCCTTTGTAGTGCAATCGGGTACTTGACTATCAGGTTATGACAAAACTATGTTAGTGTGACATTCTCATTGCTTTTCTCCTTTTTGTTTCTTTCTCTCTCTCCTAACATATCTTCCCATGGGAAAACACCTGGACTTTGCCTGGCACTTTTTATAGTTGACTCATTGCAGACTGAGCTACACTGTGATTCTGCCTCTTTAAAATAGGTGTACAACCTCAGGAATCGTGCTGATCTAACAAATTCTGGGATTTTATTATACCAATATATTGTATTTCACTTATTATGCAGATTGTGCCGAGATCTATAACAGCGGCAATAAGAGGAATGGATTTTACAGAATTCAGCCATTGGCAGCTCCTACAAGTTTCTCAGTTTACTGTGATATGACTGAAGGTGGAGGCTGGACTGTTATCCAAAGACGAAATGATGGCAGTGTAAACTTTGACAGGTTCAGTATTGTTTCTAATGCATAAGTTTTATATGACACATCACCAGACCAAAATCAAACAAATTTAAAATATATAATGACTGTACATGATGAAAATTGGCAGTATATATAGTATATAATCACATGCAATGAGGTGCTGGGGATGCACTGAATTGTTGGAAGGGTCGTGCTTCAAGTAAGATGTTAAACTGAGAACTCGTCTGCCTTTCAGATGTTAAAAATCCTGTGGCACTATTCAAAAAGAGAAGGATGCTTCTCTCTGTGTTCTGGCCAACAAACACCCAAATAAAACTGATCGTTCACTTCATAGCTGTTTGTGGGACATTTCCTATGTTCAAATTGACTTCCACATTTGCCTACAAGAGCACATTACAGTTCAGAGTAAAATCCTGCAAAGATTTGACACATCTCAATAATGTAATAAAATGCTATATCAAATGCATTATTATTTATAATGATAATAATCCTTGCATTTGATATAGCGCGTTATCATGTCTTCAAGACATCTCAAAGCGCTTCACAGAATAAAGTGAATTGACTGTATATTTTGTGGGCGAAATGCGATAGCCAGTCCACCAATTGACTTAACAAACGGGTTCCTACTTACTGCTAGGTAAACAGAAGTGTGTGGAGTAAGGAAACTTGCCCAATGTTTAGCCCGGCTGGGAGTCAAACCCAGGTTTCTCGCTTGCGAGGCGAGTGCTCTAACTACTTAGCTACAATTCAACCTATGTTTTAGGATCTTCCTCATCTTTTAATAAAGAGCTCATGATTTTGCTTCCCACAAAGTATCTGGTTTAGCTCAAATAGCTGTATAAACATTTGGAGAAGAAAAATTTAAAAGAGTACAGTGAAAGGGCAAGAAAGTGGAATTAAAATAGTTAGCTGCAGTGGATGTTACCACCATCTAAGATTTGAGGAGAATGACATCCTCTGATACTATACTGTGAAACAACACAATTTATTTTTTCCATCAAACACTTGCTAAAAAAGTAAAGTTGCTTTAATCAGAAATGTATCTTTTCACAGTTTCTAGTTAAACTGAAATGCTAATGATGTTTAGGGATAAAGGTTTTCTTATACTATTGTCTTTGAAGTTGAGTAACTGTGTAAAATTAGGGCTGCCAGTTTTACAAATAAGGCAAACTTTATTGTATAATTTAACCTTAGGCCCTGTGGAGAGGGCTTCCTAGCTACTGTTCAGCACCAAATGGGGAATTTAGTCCAAACCTTTGGGTAACGTTGTCGAATTTAGCATTGGACAGGTCAATCACCATTTCCATCTGTACAATACAGCTGTGTTTTGCATTGTGCGTGGGTTTATAACCTTAGGAATGATGTTGGATTTCACTTATTCTTGGCTGCTGTGAGGAAAATACTTACAGCAAATACAGCTGCGACAATGTATGATCAGAATGTCTATATGCCAATATCTCTTCATTAGATTTCCTACAGACTACTGATAGATTTTCAGGCAATAAGTAAATGCATTTATGTAATGAATAATGGATGTTAATGTATATTTAATACTGGACATGGGAGTAGAATTATCAATGGATAGGAATATGTAATTAATAATGGATGTGCACTTTGGCATTGTTGATAAGTTGGTCAGGACGTAGGTGGATCCCATATCAGAGCACATTTTAACATTCTAATATTACAAAGTACCAACAGCTGTGCTGAACCTTGTTGTTTGGATCTTGAGGATGTCTTTCAGCTTTCCAAATATACAAGTGAGATTTGGTGTACTCCTCATACACTAGCCTTATTATGGAAGACAATAGACCTTGTTCTGCAAATCAATCCAGTTGCACTGTTCTTTGTTTTAGATATATTTGAAAGGTGCCCTTGTAAAGCTCAAAATTTCACAGTCGTAGCCTGGGGAAACCATCCTATCTTAATCTGTACAATGGCACAGAATTGTGGCAAAATCTTTAATCTAGTTTTAATTTGCAAACCAAGCTGTTTTTGACTTCTAATTTAATGTACATTGCTGTAAGCTTGTATGTTTGGCTTCTCACAAACATTAAAATGAAATATTCTACTTGTTTTCATAGAGTATGGGCTGAATACAAGCAAGGCTTTGGAAACTTCCAATCTGCCACTGGAGAATACTGGCTTGGAAATGACAACCTGCATTACCTTACATCACAGGGTAAGTGTTATCATGTCTTGTTATCTTACGAGCTCTGTTTAAATCAAAATTCATTGCACCATCTCCAACACAGGTTCAGTGCAGCAAAGGGCAATTTCAGGACAGACACCAGGAAGTATCTCTTTATCCAGAGGATAATTAACAACTGGAACACATTACTAGGAATGTGGTTGAATGTAAGGAAGGAAGCTGGACTTATTTAAGAAACAGCTTGATGCTGTGATTGGAATAGGGTATTTTGATGGGAATTGGATGGTATTTTGGAAGGGTGAGGTCAAATGAGCTGAAGGGCCTTTTTCATATGATCTCGTGATCTTTAATGTCTCTTTTGATCTTGTGGTCAATGGGGGCACTGAAAGCTTTAGTCCAAACCTTTAGATAAAGTTGTGGGGATGGAGAGATGGAGGCTTCACACTCATAGACAATCTTTAGTTATCCACTGAAAATTACGAATTTCAAATTAGATTCAAATTAGCAACAACAACTTGCATTTATATAGAGCCCCTCATGCAGGGTAGTGTCCCACAACAACACAATACAAAATTACATATGTATAGCACTTTTCATGTCGAGAGGACATCCCAAGGTGCTGGACACTTGATAGTGGCGGAGCACGAGGCCGAACTGGAGGAAGATGACCGAACTGGTTGAAGAGCAAGGTCTTCAGGCACTACCTGAAGCAAGCGGCAAGGTGGAGGGATAGAGGAAGAGTGTTCCAGAGTTTCAGGGCATAGAGGCTGAAAGCCTGGTTTTTGTTGTTGTTGTTAAGGATTGGTAGGATTATTTTGATCTGTAGGATCATTGGCCTTGACACCAGGAAAAACTCCCAACTCTTTGCAGATAGTGTCATGGGAACTTTAACGTCCAGCTGCACAGGTAAAAGGGGTTTAACACATTATCTGAAGGTCAGGACCTCTGACGGTCCAGCTCTGGAATATCAAGCTGGATTACGAGCTCAAATTCTAAATTCCAAAGTGTCAGCACCAGCTGAAACACCAAAGCTATGATGTAGATTAAATCAGGATTGCCTGTATATTGATGGGTAGAGGGAAAAGGCAGGGAAATGGGATTACAAAATATGCCACAATCAAACTGGGTAAACTCACTTGATAGGCTAAATGGGCTCCTCCTATACCTGTATAAGAACAGAGAGAAAATTAATCTTTCTCATTTTACTTCTTTCAGGAGAGTACACTGTGAAATTCAATCTTATTGACTGGGATGCTGAAAAACGGGATGCACAGTACAGAAACTTCAGGGTTCAAAATGAGCAGGTGAGGAGAGTCAGTGACACTTTGCAGAATTGTTTAGAACAGGGACAAATGCTGTGTCAGTGTGTTGCTCCTCCTGTTTCTTTTTAAATCTTCCTTTTGTAGACCTTACTATGCAATGCATCATTCCTGTCCTTTGCACCTGTTTTGTTATTGGACCAATGATATTGACATTGTTTAAGGGATATGTTCCATTTCCCAAACTCAAACATGCTGCATCCTTTCCCAGAGGCCAAATACTTTCGCATGGCGGAGGGAGAGGAAAAATCCGATTGGAAGTACCTACTGTACCATTCTTACACAATTTCTTGGGATTGGCTAAAAGTGGAGTTGACAGACTGCTAGCTTTATCCTCTTTGACACAGAGCTACTTAGCCCATACGTAGATGAGAGAAAATTAAGAGGAGAAAGGAGCTAACACATTCTTCTAAATGGCATTGATTTTCCATTGTTAGTAAATGTACCTGCTTTTGACAGAGAGCAGATATTACAAGCATTCCTACGATATGCACTCTTCCCCCATTGATCAGTAAACAAGGGAAACATAACCTTCCAAAAAGATACCATCTCCAACCCTCACAAAGAAAGATCGAATTGCCCTCAATCATGGAAATGTTTTTTTTTCCTGGAGCATCAGATTCAGAAATGTAAAACAATCTCTGAGTTATGTATTTGTACTTTATTTTCACAGAATTCATACCAGCTGAGCTTTGGCACATATTCTGGTACAGCAGGAGACTCACTAAGTGGAACGTACCACCCAGAAGTCGCCTGGTGGGCCAATCACAACGGTATGAAATTCAGCACAAAGGACAGGGACAATGACCGCTACGAGGGCAACTGTGCACAAGAAGATAATGGTGGATGGTGGTTCAACAGGTTTCTGATATTTCTTTACTCTCATCTCATAATTATTATTATTATTTAGCAGTGGATGCAACTCATGCAGTTCAGATTTTTATGTTGATTTTCCTGGGAATAATTCCAGCCATAGATTACCCGCTCCTTTGGCCAGGATCAGAAGTCAGAAATTATTGCTAAGTGATGTACTGCTTGGTGCCTTTACCCACTCAACTATCAGGGGAGCCTGATTAATTTACACTGTCTGGAAGAAAATAATAGTCATCATTATTTGGCATTCATGTTCGTTAACTCTTGTAACTTTCATTAATTTCTGCAGATGTCACTCTGCTAACTTGAATGGACTTCATTATAATGGAGGAGCTTTCTCATCAAGAACAGATAATGGAATCATTTGGTACACCTGGCATGGTTGGTGGTATTCACTGAAATCCACAGTCATAAAAATCAGACCTTCTGAATTTGTGCCTAGTTCAAACTGAGTGTTCCAGACGTTCATGTTGTGTGCCAGATTATTACACTAAACACTACTTTCTTGGGCTAAACAAAAGTATTACAGTTTATTGTAGTCTTCAGCAGGTAACCTCTCATTCCATTCTCCTTACAGCATTATGCAATTGGATTTGTGCTGTATCAGACAGAGAGAGCATCATTGTATAGTATACAAACAATACACCTAGTTCTCATCCACATCAGTGGCAGTATGATACAGAGGTAAGGTGATTATCAGCACTACTTGGGTTAACTCCTTTCCATTTGCAAATGAACAAACAAATTACAAGTTGTTTGCAGTGCTCTCAAAAAATGTTCCATCCAAAGATATACTGTCACTGTAGTATCACATTGTTTCATCACTTCTCTCTCTCTGCTATTTTCTCTGACTCTCTATTACTCTGTCCTTATTTTAATCTCTTGCTTTTCTATCCATCTGTATCTCTCTTTGAGCCTTTCTCTTTGAATCTTTGAATACTCAAGAGTCCTTTGTGTCACAACCTTTGCCTGAAATATATTTGTTGCCAGTGAACACATTCTGCTGGGAAATAAATGGAGATAAATGGGGAATGAAAATGAAAGAAAAGTAGAATATTTGGGAGGATTTTTACACATCTATCGTTACAGGACTATTATTGGATTATAAAAAGTAGGAGCAATTTTTACCATTTTGTAAGGCAGCTTAATTTCTTCACTTGGAAATCAGTACTATAATAATAAAACAATGATTACTTCTCTACTCTGAAATCATCATCCACGGGAATAGCACAACAAAAACAAGAACAGTTCCTTAAAAGCTCTTATAACAACATATCATACTTTTATCCTGACATACTGTAGTTGCCTTTTGAACATGTTTAATAGAGACAATGACATACATTTGAAATGTTGTTAATGTTGCATTTGTAGGTAGTAGTGTGATCCATTACAATGTAGATTACAACGCCTTATATATACAGCTGTCACTTTATGCTTTGATTATCAAAAACACAACTTCACTTTGAACGTTTCCTGTATACATTAGTAAATAAAATGATTGAAATATTTCTAAATAAGCTATCTTTTATTTTCCTCACAAATTATCAACAGTGATAATTATGACATAGAATGGTGCATTTTCACCCACAAATGGTTGTGAGGAGCAACATCTGCAATTACTCTGCTTTTAAAGGGCACAAATTAATTTTTTAAGAAACCTGGGAAAATCCTCTGGAGAGTGTTTGAAAGCTATTTCACTAAGATATGTGGGTGAACAATGTCTTTAATAAGTCCCCACAAGAAATCTAATAATATTTTATATGTGGTAAAATCAGAATTATTAATAATAAACCATATAACATGTTACATTTATGCCACATATGAAGTGATAGGCAGAACGATTTTGCACCCACAGTAAAATGGAGTTGCAATAGTTATTTTCCCTTAGGAACTCTCTCCCATGTAACTTACCATTGTATAGATTGGTACAATTGTACTTTTGCACCTTGTACATTAAGTGAAAAAGGTTAGAAAAGGAACAACAGAAGACCAGTGCAATGGATAAATCTGTTAACAGGCTGTGTGCACAGCAAGGTGGGAAGGGAGTTCCAGCACACAAGTCCTTGAACTCTTAAGTCAATTTATAAACCTGAGAACAGAAAAATCAAGAGGTAAATCAGCCCCCTAGTGGCTGATTGCGGAGAATCCTTAGTGGAGTCTTGGACATGTTTGCCAGTGAATCAAAGTATTTCAGTTATTAAAGTAACATTTCAGATTACACAGAATTTGGAAATTGTTGAATTCTGTTTCAACTTTCAAATTGTTTTCTATGGCTGTAGAAAATACCACTTCTAGCTGAAGACTGGTGTTTAAGGTTCAAAAGATCTAGTTCAGAATTCTAGGTTTGGCAGGTCTACACACTGCACACTCCTAGGACATTATTAGTCCACAAAATACGCAGTATTTACACTATATTCTGTGAAGCGCTTTGAGACCTCTCAACAGCGTGATTAGGCGCTATATCTAAAAGCAAGGATTATTATTATTGCTAAGCCTAACACTGCATCAGAGATGGGTGTACATATTTCCAAATACTTGTATATCTAACAGTTTGATAACTAAGATGATAATCAGAATTATCTGTGCATTCAAACAGCATTTTTTTATGTACAGTGAATCTGGCAAGCATTTCACAAAGTACAGGATCAATTTGATCCTCTCAGATCCCCAGATATCAAGGTTGCCCTAGACATGAATTCTGAACCTATAGAACATCTTCCAATTGAAAATTAGCTTTTGCAATATAACCTTTGACACAGTTTGGGAGTGAGGAACATCAACTAATAGGTACAATCAACCATTACTCACCAGGACCAGCCTCAAAAATATTTATGCAGAAATGTTACACCCTTTCTCTTGCTCCTCAGCGCTGCGTTCTGACAGCTTTTCCTCCTGCAGCTTTACCCAGACTTGTACCAATTGACTCATTTAGCCTAACTATGTCAAACTAACAATATTCCTTGCATTTGATATAGTGCCTTATCATGTCTTCGAGACATCTCAAAGCGCTTCACAGAATATACTGTAAAATGAATTGACTATATATTTTGTGGGTGAAATAAGCATTTCTTTTATGCAAGAACATATTCCAAATTTAATTGCTTCCCCTGAAAGAATCCCAATTGGCACTCATATGTCTGAACATAAGAACATAAGAAATGCGAGACGAAAAAAGACCAATGTCCATCTAATTCATCTTCCACCTTCCTGGCGGTCGCATGCACACATGTCTCAAACTATCTATGTACTATATGCCCTAATGTTATTTCCTAAAAGAAAACATGTTTGAAAGAATTAACACTTCCTGCTTCAACTGTCTCCCTAGGAGCCTGTTTCACTCACTAAAATAGTGTTTCTGTAGATTCATTCTGAATTTACCCCCCTTCAATCGCAGGCTGTTGGTTTTACTATTCTGGACAAGTTGAAACAGTCTATCTATATTGTCTAGCCCCTTTAGAATCTTAACAATCATGTCCCCTCTCAATCTTATCTTTTCCAGCGTGAACTTATCCATATATCTAATATATCTAAAGTCTTCCTAAAGCTTGGTTCAAAATAGTTTCAAACCAGACAAATATTTGTCATGAAAACTGTGAAGTGGTAAAGTGATAAAGAGATTAGTTGGGGATGAGATAGACAAACTACACCAGGGCTTTTCTTCCTTGTGATGGATTAGACAGAGCTGGACTCTAAAATATACTGCCAGATTAGTTGAGTTCAGACATCATATTCATGCTCATGCACAAGTGCTCTGATCAGGTACTTAAGAGTACTACATAGAGGCACTAGAGGTGGTGCAGAGGAGAGAAGCAAGGATCATCCCCAATGTTGGAGGAATGAGCTTTGAGCAACAATTGCAACAATTAGACAAGCTAGTGCTCTTCAGCCTTGAAATGAGATGTCTCAGGGGGAGGTGTATAATATTTTAAATAGAATTGAGAAAGTAAATCTAGAACAATACCTTAGGATGCACTAAGATAGCAGAACAAGAATTCGGAAGTAGTAGCTTTTCACCAGATTACAAGATTGGACTGTATAAAGAAGGCTCTTAGGCAAATCTGATCTATCCCTTCAGAAAACCCACTTGAGTACCCTCAGCAATACATCAAGCTGTTTTCCAAAATAAATCTGCTGTCCTGGCCTCTATTATCTTTCCTGACAACCTGTTAATTATCTTCAGTGTAAAAAACTTCCTGGTATCTGTTCTCAAATTGCACTTTACAACTCTAAACCCACGTCTGATACATCCTAAAATATTGAGCTGGGTTTACTTTTTCTATCCCATTTAAAATTCTGCACACTTCTGTGAGGTCGCTCCGGGACGCTACCTTGTGTGAACGGTGCTATATAAACGCAAGTTGTTGTTGTCCCCTCTGAGTCATCTTCCCTCAACACTGAAGAGCCCTTGCTTATCTATTCAAGTTTTCAAAAGAGCTGGTTTATAAATAATACTGTATTTAAGAATTTTCCAGAATTGTGCACAGTCTTAAAGTTTAAGCTAAATTTGGTGAACAGGCTGGGGTTTGGTGGTATTTTGGGCTTTATGTCTTTTCTTATTTAACTAATACAGTATTTATTAAGGTTGAGTTTTATTTCAAATTAATCTAGAAAAGTAAACTATGTTTGTCATTGTGGCTTTAACCACGAGATGAATCTCAAGATGTACAGTGCTGCATGGAGCTCTGGTCATCACAACATCAGAGGGCAGCCTTGGCTCCAGAGATAGCAACAAGGCTGATCCCTATTGCTGGAGGGTGAGATATGGGGAATGACTTTTCAGCCTTCAAAAGAGACCAAGGGAGAACAAGGAAAATCACTCAGTTATGCCAGGTCAGCATTTTAACCCCTAAATGACTGCAAAACATAATTGTGAACCATAAGCTTCCTTATTCTGGGGCCCTTATCAATTACAAATTTAATGAAGCTAACAACAATGATAAGATAAATTGATAAGATAATAGACTATAAATGCTTACTTTACCTCTGTCAATGAACATCTTTTTGAGGGGAGGAACTAACTATACAGCAGGAGCAGATTGTTGACTTCAGAATAGCGTTGTCATCTGCACAATTTGTCTAGTTTGAATGAACTGTTTGGAAAATATGGTATGTGACTATCAAAGATTATCATTGATTCAAAAATAATAGGCTTTGCTATACTAGAGATCACCCCTCAGTCATTCCCATTTCCCCCATCTTGCCCCAATTTATATTTAATGAAAGCGCAGGTGCCATACATATATAAGAGTCTTGAAGGGAAAGATGACTGACAATAGCTTGCAATATAATTAGAATTTCAATAGAATCTATTATAGAAATAGAAAAATATTGTTTTGGAATTATATTTGGGTCTAGGTCTTTATTAGGGATGAGAGCTTTATCTCATTCTGAATCACCCAACACAATCTGACCTACATCAAAGGATGAATTATCATACAGACTAGCCATCAGCAGGATTGCAGTGTAAAACAAGTTCCCTTGAAAACCACTTACAGTACTTCTTAATTTCTTAAATAGACTGCAAGGATTGAATAAACATAAGAGAGAAAATAAATAATCCTTACATTTGAAAAAGCACTTTTCATGCCAGGGAGATGTCTCAAAGTATTTCACAGAATTTATTGTAATTACAGTTATTGTGTATTTTGTGGACAAAGTGGCAGTCATTTTTTTCCCACCACAATGATCCACAAACAGCCATGAAGTGAATGACCAATATTATCTGGGGGATTGTTGGTTAAGACAGTGGGAAAATTCAATTTCCTTTTCAAATAGTTCCATAGTTCCTCACTTTAACATCTCATCCAGAGGACAGCACACCTCCAACACTGCAATGGAGTGTGAGCCTAGACTAAATTTAAGGCTGGAAGAAAACTGCAGCCCGAAAAGTGCAACGTTTTGCAACTTTTAATGACTACAGTGAGTGCATAAGAACATAAGAATTAGGAGCAGGAGTAGGCCATTCGGACCCTCTAGCCTGCCCTGCCATTCAATAAGATCATGGCTGATCTATTCTAATTCCACCTACCCGCCTTATCCCCATATCCCTTCATCCACAAGAAATCTATCAATCTCAGTCTTGAATATGTTCAAGGACTGAGCATCTACAACCGAACTCTGTAGCTCGTGTACTGACCCGCACCAGGCTTCGGGACCACATCACTCCCACCTTCGCTCGCCTCCACTGCCTCCCCATCCCCCAGAGGATCAAATTCAAGATCCTCATCCCCACCTACAAGGCCATTCACGGCCTTGCTGCCTCCTACCTCTCCGACCTACTATCCCCCTACCTACCTGCCCGTACCCTCCGTTCCTCTGGCTTCGGTCTGCTGCACATCCCCTGCCCCAACTGTCCTACCATCGGTGGACGGGCCTTCAGCCTCTCAGCCCCGAGGCTCTGGAACTCTATCCCTCAGTGCCTTCGCCGCTTCCTCCCTTTCCTCCTTCAAGGCCGGTCTCAAGACCTTTCTCTTTGACCGAGCCTTCAGCTTCCCTCTCGACTCTCTACCCCCTC